CTTTCATTTTACCAGTAAATATATGGCCATCTCTAGAATTCTTAAAACTCTTTCTGCCTTAAAATTGAAATCTGGTATCTTAAAATTGTGTGTGTTTTTTAAATACGTTTCTTTCATCTGTGAGATTTGGTGTCTTGAATGAGGCAATGGTGTCGAGAGAATCAATAAAAATTCTCCAGCTCCTTCTATCCTTGATTGTTTTATTAAATAAAACTAAGTGTTTTATTGATTTTCCCTACCAAATTATTTTTTTTTATTGCTAGCTAACATTCTCTAGTTCAGACCTCCATACTTGGTGATGGACTGGCAGCTAACCCCGAAATGCGTAGCCAGAAGTAAAGAAATTAATTGGTTTGAGAAGTTAAACACTCTCGGGCTCTTCATCTGACTGGAACCTGGTGCTAAAATGTTTTTAAAAATCATGGTATTTTGGACTTTAACTTTTGAAGTGATTGATATCAGCCTTAATATTATAATTGTATACAAAAAATAAGGGATAAGGTAAGTTTTAAAGAAGCTCAGCTCCCTCGTCAACCTTTCGAGAAAAACATCCCCTTCATCGGGACTTCGAAACTTTTTCCAATGATTTACACGGTTAACAGATATAAACATCTTCACACAATCGGGGAAATCATTGGAAATAGTAGAAAGTATTGGAGCCAAGCAATTATATGACAACGATGTTTTTATTTATTGCCTAGCAAATTTTTAATTTTGAATGGATAAGTGTATCAGGATTATGGTCTGTAAGGTATGAGATATTTATCATAATTGTTTACATCTGACCTTCCTCAAGGCTGAGAGTTGATGTATAAATTACAACAGAAACAATCCATTAGTCAATATATATATATATATACACAAGTATTTGTTTTCATTTTCATTGTGTTGTAATTACATGATTAATTACCTTGTTTAATTGAGTTATTATCAAACGTAGACCTACAAATACTCTTATCAATTGAATAATGATTGTAAGAAGTCTTTTCAGAGGATCTTCGGAAGAGGTCAAAACAGAGAAAACTTCCTTACGGTTTTCGCCGAGCTTTCGACAGTTTTATACTGTCATCTTCAGGGCCTGTTTTATTATCATATAAACAAACAATTAAAACATGAAAAAACAATAATTACAACAATAATTGGATATCTTACTTTAAAACCTTAATAGGAAATTAAACAACATGGTGTTTTGGGCGCAGAAGTACATTATGTTTTTTTCGTCTCAGCATCTAAATATTGATTTAAATGGAATACATTAACAATTAAAAATTATAGCTAAATCAATATTTAGATGCTGAGCCGAAAAAAACATAATGTACTTCTGTGCCCAAAACACCATGTTGTTTAATTTCCTATTAAGGTTTTAAAGTAAGATATCCAATTATTGTTGTAATTATTGTTTTTTCATGTTTTAATTGTTTGTTTATATGATAATAAAACAGGCCCTGAAGATGACAGTATAAAACTGTCGAAAGCTCGGCGAAAACCGTAAGGAAGTTTTCTCTGTTTTGACCTCTTCCGAAGATCCTCTGAAAAGACTTCCTGTATCCAGCAGGTCGATAATCTAGTTCATCGTTACAAATAATGATTGTGTCTGATGAAATATATACAAAGGCCGAACGTTTGGCACATGTTAAAATCTCATTGAGTGACCATAAATCTGATACTCTACCCATCCTAAATTAGACATAGTTTCAAAGTCCTGACGAAGAGAATATATTCTTCGAAAGCTTGACAAAGGAACTGAATGTTTGTCTTTCTTTCAAATACACCATATAAGTGATTGATTTTTACTTATTTAGAAGTTCGACCTAGAAAATGTCAATCGGCTTCGAGGATTTTTAATCAAGTTAAAATTTAAAATTCAAAGAGCAATGCACATTAGGTTTAAATTGTAAGAATGACAAGCTCGATCATTTCCTCTTTGAATGTAAATTTAATGAAAAATAATTACAGGTAACTAACAGGTATATATCTCAGCAATGAATTCTTAAGCAGACATTTCTAATATCACAAACTACATCCAAATCAACATTTGTCATTATTGTCAAACCGAATTTACAGAAAAAATAGAATTTGTAAAGTTAGAATTTATTTGGCCACTTTATTGCTTTATTTTTAAATAAAATATTATTATTCGTAGTTAATTCTTGTTATACAATAGTAAATAGGGTAAAAGGCAAAGTTAATTTTACTGCAATCTTTTCAGAAAACTTCGTTTTTGCTTACATAATTATTTTCTTCTTTCTTCAAAACTCATGTATATATGTTTTCTCCTTTATTTTTATGATCTAACCAGTCAGTGACATATTGTCACTTCTATTTGAATAGACGTGGTATCGATATCAATAAAACAATTAATTAATTAAAAAGTGACATGGCTTTTGGAAAACTATATACAAGAAAGTTTAAAAACTTCTTTACAAAAAAGTTCTACGAATTATTATTTTTTAAATATGCCAACATTATTTATTATTCGAGCCTATATTTGAGTCCAGTTTGTTTTCTAACATGTCAACCTCCCGAGTTATCGACTCCTTTCTAGTGCTAGAATATTTTTAGACAGGCGTACAATCCAGGGAAATAGAAGGCTCGTATAACACGTCGATTTTTATAAAACTGAAGGACGAGTATATCTGTTCTGCGACTGTTTCCCTTTGGATTCTTTTAATTTTATTTCCATTGAGTTACCCCTTATTTAGAAGAGCGCCCGCACAACAGCAACAAAACTTAGACGCTATTTTCTCTCATGATGTTCATCGTTATGTTTCACCCTTTCGAAAAGAACAAGAAAATGGACGGCAATTATAAAAATTAAAAAAGACCTAACGCTTACCTTGCGTTTAATATCCAATTATCTGAGTCTAAAAAATAGTTTTTACGCCATATTTTTCAAATAATCTTTCTAAATTCGGCATAGAAAGTACAACAAAAGTAGATCATATTATATGAACAATATACACAGTTTTAAACTTTTTTTCTCGCCCATGCCCGCTGTTCCTCCTAAAAGTTCATAACACATACATTTTGCCTAAATTCAACGCTATTACAACTGTTAGAAAGCTTAACTTTTTTATTTTAGCCAATGTCAACAAGGTCCAGACATTAAAAGTGAGAAAAATAAGGATGAAATCAGGAAAACCTATCAAAGGTTTTATTTTATTTTTCCGATTCTGAATAATTTACAAAGACCATTATGCCGTTTAAAGTTGTTTATAGTGTTTTCAATCCCTACAAAGAAGAGCAGTGCAGTCGTTTCAAAGTTATTACCTTTTCGAGATTTTCAAGAAAAAAGTTCTACACAGTTAGAGAGAGAACTATTTAATAATATTTTTATTTTTCAAACAAACTGTATTTAGAGATTTTGGGGAGCAGAAAATCATATCATCTTTGTTATTTGCTAAAAAAATTGTTCACTACAAAATTGTTTTCTACTTTGCAAAAAGACGAAATGAATCGACGCGAATGAGCAAATTCGACCTATCAATCAAAATACAATACATACCTAATTATGTTGTTAGGTAAAAAAACCCAAAAAACACTAAATACAATTTTTTTGCTTTTCAAATGCCGCGATTTTTTCCCGAAAATCACAAAAATATCACAAAAATGTGATAGCTTTGAAACGATCCTATTAATAATCTGGAATCTCTACAGAGATTAAGAGTTTTATAACCTACATGTAATTCTTCTGTAAATAAATTAAAACCAGGGAAAAGTTTTTGTTCACTTTTTCCTAAACTCACTTATAAGAACAGAAGAACCAAAACTTGTTAATATTGCCTCAAAAGAAGAAAAAAAAGTTTTCCAACTTTTTTGTAATATCGTGACCATTGGAAAAAACCCAATGAAGTTACGAACACGACATCGTAGGTAAAAAACAAACAAAAATATCTAATTTTGTTTGCTAGAAAATTTTGCATTTAAGGGCTTTAATGTGTTCTTAAAACCAAACCGGTTTATTTTTTACAAGTGACTGTTTTGGCCTAATTTACTGGAAGCGTCTTTTCGTGTTTGGAAATTCGTAAAAATGTGATCCAGCCCCAAAAATGTCTCTATTTTTGGTATAAATAATCTTGGGTAAAAATTTTAAAGGTTGGTAAAATGAGTCCAAAAAGGATCCTGTTAATCTAATTAACCCACTTAAAAATCAACTAATGTATAATAACCTTGAAATTAGCAAACACAACAAAGGCAGAAAAGCATATTTAAACAAAATTGTTTGTATTCTTTAAAATATTTGGGTTTTTGGTTCCTAGGTTCTATTGACAAGAACTCTTGGACATGTGTATAAAATATTTTGAACTAATGTCACTAAAAAAATCGTTCGAATCGGACGCCTCATTTTATTGTGATTATTTCAAAAAGTTGAATAACAAATAAATGGCCACTTTTATTGGATTTGGAAACACAAAAATTCAAAGTTGACTAGATATATTCATTTGTGTAGTTTTTATAGCTAATAAAATAAATTTCAAACAGAAAGAACAATAAGTATCTTTGGATTTGATGAATACGAAAAATGAAATATACACACTAAGGAATTAAACAATTACATAAATAAAATAGCAATAGCCAATCACGTGAAAATTTTCATTTCAAATTTTCTGAAAATCAGTATTCCGCGCCAAAAATTTCTCAATAATTTTGGGTTAGGAGATTTCTTCAATAGAAAAACAAAAATCATCACTGCAATGTTTTCAAAATTTGTGATGTGTTAAAAGCAGAAAAAGACATGATTTAATATATAGATAATAGAAATTAAACTATTATCATATAATTTGTTATAAAACACAATAGAAACAAATTTTAGTGGGTTTTTGAAAATAAATATTTTTATGGAAATATTATTGTAATCATAGTATTGTTGTCTTTTTTTAAAGATTTGTTATGACTTAGAAGAAACCCCATGGAGCTCATTGCTAGTGTGAACTGTCAAGTGATTGAAAATCTCTTTGTGAGTTAGAAAATATACTTGATATGGAAAAAAATTAACTTACTTGTCGGTCTTATAGTAAGAAACGCGATGAAGATGATGATGACGGTTTGCGAATCCATAGCGAACTGTTCTCCGACTGTCGGTTACTTTCACTCAATTCCCACCACCGCGGCGGGTACAAGAAGCGTCCTCGTACCAAGGTCCCTCCCTCTCTTTCTGGTCACTTTTCGGCCCTGCCAAAAGACGATCCTTCGGCTGCACCGGCTCGCAGAAGACTTCCGCGGTCCGTGGGGTCCCGTCGGTGCAGAGACGTCTAACCTCGACTGAACCTTGCCCGTCGGCTCGCGTGGTATTAATACTGATCAGGAAAGACGAATTTACGACGATGTCCTTTATATTTGACACTCGTCGATTTATGTCGTGCCAATGTTGAAACTGATCCTTAAAAATATTAAAATAAAATCAGACATTCTAGAGACGAATGTAGGAAAGACTATGTGACTACAGACATTTCTTACTTAATATTGAAAATGCCATTGAAATGTAGGACATTAGCAAACATTGCAGTTTGACAAATAAGAGAATGTGTTTAGAAAAGAATTCACAATAGAGTGTGCAAAATCAGTAACGAATCATCAACATAGAAAAATTCTAAAAATTATTTCAAAAGAAACAAAAAATGTTCTTGAAAACCTAGATCAAGAAACGTAACACAATACAAATGTCAACATTTAATTTATCAACATACAGAGGAAATCTGATAAATAAAACCCACAAGAAATAGCCTATAAAGCTGAAAAAATAAAAAACACGTTTGTCAGACTAAAACAGGGATGATAGGGGGACCAAATTTTTCGAAAATAACCAATCAAGTTACTCAGTAATACAACACAAGAAAATCCCACCATGTTAATAAACTAATAAAAAATAACCTAGTAAATTAGATATAAAACTGCATTAAAGACAGCAGAAACTATTAGAAAACCATTGATTATGATAAAAATATCAACAAGACAAAGCCACTATACACAATATTACATCGAAAGAAAGAAAAAAACACATACGAAGAACCCAAATATATGGTTATGACTGGAAGGGAAACCAATAAAAACTATCAACAACACAAAAATTTTGAAATTATATAAAAATGGACAACAAATATACTTGAAAATTTATAAATAAACAACCGCAACACAATTCACAATTCACATCAACAATTTAATGTATCAAGTGGTCGACAAGCAAAGACAACGCTGACGAGTATAAAAAAATTCCATTAAAGAAAAACACAATCTGACTAGTAAACCTGATAAAAAGTAGAAAACAGTGATGTACCAAAAAGGCGAGGATAGGTGGACCAAATATATCGAAAGCGATCAAGGAACACCAAGGAATGTTATCACTCCACCTATTTCAAAACGATCTCACAATCTGAACTATCTACTTAACAAATTAGGTATAAAAACTGCACTGAAGACAAAAATACAATTACTAATTATGAAACAAAACATCGACAAGACTATGCCCCTAGACAAAAAGTTACATCGGCCTGATAGAAAGAATAAATGAAATAAATAAACGATTATTTATGGATTAAGGGGCATCAGAATAATTCATCACAAAAAAGCTTGAGATTACTTCAAAAAAGGACGAACAATGTTCTAGAAATAAACAAACACAACACAACCAATCATTTAAAACATTTTATAAATTAAAAAAGAAATGGACCGATGATAACAATGTCTGGAAAATACCAAAAAACACCAAACTTTAATTCCTGAAAGACGTCAAAAGACGTCACACTCACACAGAGACGTGAATAATGAAAACACCACACACCGAGCTGGTAAAAAACCGAGACACATCTGACAGACCGAAACCAAAAAAGATAGACGGACCAAATTGATCGAAAACGACCGAGCATTCATTCATCATCCCGCTAACTTCAAAAACATATCCCAAAATCTGACCGTTTTTCTCGCAAGGAATGTTAAGAATTGTGCAAATTTTCAGTATGGATTGTTGTTACCTTTTCAATACTTCTACTGTTTGTTTGTTTTATAATAATTAATAATAAGAAGTTAATCACTAAAAAAATTCAACCGTTCAAATTAAGAGTGTAATAAACAGTAAACAGCTGTTAGGCTCAGGAATCGGAAGATTAACAAAATCCTAAAGAAATACGGGTGGCTGCGTGATCGTGCTACCGTGTTTTGGCGGTTTTTTGTCTTTCTCAAGATAATATAAAATTGTAAAAATACAAGTGAAACGTGTTGATACGTAGTGTAAAACGGCTTGAAAAAATGTGTTTTTTCTTTAAGCGTCTTGCCATTTATGGCTTTGGAATTTTGGAATTAATATATTGGGTTGTCCGGAAAATAATGCAGGATTTTAAGTTTTCATTAAAAAAAATCTATATAAAATATTCTGTTTACGTTTACAGGATTACTCATTTGTATGAATGTCAACACTTATTAATCCTCTTCCAAATGATATTGTTTGTTTACCTCTGTAGCATTCCGCTACTTGGAAATAATTCAGTCATCCTTATAATGTCAAAGCGAGAATTTCGTACGATTTTCTTTTACGAGTTTAAACTCGGCCGAAGCGGAGCCCAAACGGCTAGAAACATTAACCAAGTCTGGGGCGAGGGTTGTGTTAATGAGTGCACTGTGCAAAGGTGGTTTAAAAAATTTCGGGAGGGAGATTTCAGCCTTGAAGATGAAGAAGGTCGTGGAAGGCCTTCCTCTCTTAATGATGATGTTCTGCGATCAGTGGTGGAAGAAAACCCCAAAACAACTGTTCGAGAACTTGCAGAGCAACTCAAAGTCAGTAAAACGACCGTCGCTGACCACCTCAAGGCGATTGGAAAAGTGAAAAAACTCGAAAATTGGGTTCCACACTCATTAAACGATCGCCAAAAAAATCAGCGCTTTGATGTTTGTGCATCACTTCTTTGTCGAAACAAAAATGACCCATTTCTGGCCAGAATTGTTACATGTGACGAAAAGTGGATTCTGGACAGTGGCTCGACAAAGGAGAAGCTCCAATACATTTTCCAAAGCCCCCAACTCATCAAAAAAAGGTAATGGTTACGGTATGGTGGGCTTCATTTGGTTTAATACACTACAGCTTCTTAAATCCTGGCGAAACCATCAATGCTGAATCATACTGTAACCAAATTAATACCATGCATCAGAAATTGGCAGTAATGAAGCCCTCTTTGGTCAATCGGAAAGGGCCCATTTTGTTGCATGACAACGCTCGACCACATGTGTCACGTGTAACGTCACAAAAATTATTGGAGCTTGGCTATGAAACTTTGCCTCACCCACCCTACTCTCCGGACCTCTCGCCTACTGACTACCATTTTTTTAGACACCTGGACCACTACTTACAACACATAATATTCAAAAATCAAACGGAACTGGAAAATGCATTTATTGACTTTATCAATTCTAAAAATTCTGAATTCTACTCAGACGGAATTAATAAGTTACCAACACGTTGGGAGAAATGTATTGAGAGTATGGGAAATTATTTTGATTAAAGAACATTGCTTTAAAGTAACTAGTTTCTTTTTTTTTGTTTAATACCAAAATCCTGCATTATTTTCCGGACAACCCAATAAGTGAGTACCAATAATTCCAAAAAAGTATCACTAGAAATACGACAGCTTCCAAAAAAATGGACATGATATGATAACAGCTGAAGTTCTTCAAGAACTTCCCAAAAAAGCCGTCGTCATTGTGACTTTTTTATTTAACGTAATATTGAGAACTACACACTTTCCCATACAATGGCAACTTCCTTACATTAAAACCCCAAAGCCTCATAAAAATTTAATTGCCCCATCATATTATCTTCCTGTTAGTTTGTTACCCGTTCCTTCTAAATTCTTCGAAAAATTATTTTAAGAAAGAATTAGCTCTATTGCTGCTTTAAACATCTTACCAGACCATCAAATGGATTTAAAAACCTATCATTCTAATACTCAACAACTTCACAGAGTTACAGATTTCATTACTTCACGAATCGCGCAGAATCTGCACACGACTGGAGTGTTTCCGCATGTTGCTAAGGCTTTCAACAAAGTTTGGCGGGTTGAGGGATTTTTATACAAATTAAAATTATTTTTACTCCAGACTTATTATCTGATTTTACAAACATACCTTAAGGAGAGATTTTTCGAAGTATACCAGGGATAGGAGACTTCTGAGATGGAAGAAATACTTTTAGGTTGGCCACAAGGGTCAATACTCGCTCCTCTGTTGTTCACAATTTTTACTTTGCATATGCCCACAAATGAGAATGCACTTACCGCCACATGCGCAGATGGCACCGCCATATTAACTAGTCATTCCTCTTCTACACAAGCTTCACGTATGTTACAAAACCACATATCAAAAATTTAAAAAATAGAGCAATCTTTGGAAAATAAAGTTTAACCTCTCAAGTCACAGCATACCACCTTTTTTACGCTCAGCTGTCCTAGCATACTTATACAATGCACTTGTTCGTCAATTCGACAAAGTTAACTATTTAGGACTTACATTTGATAGAAGAGTAACTTGGAAACCACATACACGATTAAAAAAACAGACACTCAACAAACGACTTAAAATGTTTTATTACTCAACCGGCAATCAAAATTACCATTAAAATCATAACTGTCGATATAGACACATACTCAAACCTTTATGGATGTACGGGTGGCCAAGCTTATGGATCGGCCAAATATTCCAATATACAAAGATTATAAAGTTTTCAATCCAAAATGTTAATTGTTTCTGCCTCTTTTTACGTAAACAATAACACACTTAACAGAAATCTTCACATGCTATCTGTTTTTTCAACCATTAAAACATTTTTAAGGCGTTTTCATAGTAAATTACAAAATCACACTAACACACAAATACTACTCTATTCCCCACAATTACCTCATAAGCGACTGAAAAGATTATGGATAAGAGACCTCTTAAAAGATTAATATAATTTTATTAATCCAGAGCATTGATTGGCAGCTTTCTCTATAAAGCCCGTAATAACACAATAGTAAATTGACATCCAATCTGCTGGTTGTACGTAATACATGTACAGTTGTAGACAAAAATAAATGAAGTGAAAAAAATTTGAACGTTGTTTTTTCAATTAATTATTAACATTTAAAATTCGTCAACGGCTAATAAAACTGGACGTCAAACCATGAAAAATTAGAGGCCGGCTTCGTTGCACGCCGCTACGACTTTTCATTTTTCCGAAGTCACAACGGCATAAACGCCTACAACTTTTCCTCTTTGCTGAGATTATGTAAAAATCAAAAGGCCGTTAAAGCAAAGGCCTGTTTTTTTAATACCGAAATTTCTTGGAGTGTAACAAGGATTGTATACGCCAAATTAACGATTGTCATTTCCTAGTGGTTTTGTTCATTTATCAGTCATTGCCGTTTAGTTTTTGAAAATATACTGCTGATAATCGAAGTAAATTTACGAATATTCTTTGTGTATGGTAAACAATTTTTGTAAAATTAAAAACTGCCGTCACACTCTCGTATAGTTCATTCTTTATTTTGATCAGTTTCAACTAAATCCAAAAATTCTGATTTTATCAAATTTAGCGTTGGTTTAATGTTCAAAGCAAAATTTACTACTTGGGACATGACAACTGATTCCATGCCAGATAATCAACCTACATGTTAGCGATACCTTTGAGTGATGGATATAATCAAAGGCCAATAATCTACTAGTTGACATTTAAATTTATTCGTTACAAGCTAATTCATTTCAGAAAATTGAATATAGTAGGTCTCGATACTTTTCCGTGCGCTTAAGGGACAGAAATGTTAAGCTAGAGAAGAAGAAATTTTCGTAAGATACAGATTTATTTCATGTAAGAAAATCTGTTAACATAAACTTGGGCGTTGTTCGGGATATATAAATAAATTTAGGGACTGGATAATAAAAGCAAAAGAAGTTTTAAAAGACT